TGATTTAAATTCTGTTTTCAAAACCATATCTCATTTTTGCATGTTGCCTTACAGTTTTTTAAAGTATGTTTCTACTGATTTTTTTAGAGAGGGAGGAAGGGAGAGACAGAAGCCTCCTGCACTCCCCCTACTGGGGATCAAGCCCCAAACCTGGGCATGTGCCTTGAACCAGAGCCCCTCAGTCCATAGGACTGACGCTCAATCCTCTGAGCCACACAGCCAGGCTGTTGCCTTATAATTTTTTTTTTAAATCCTCACCCTAGGATATTTTTCAATTTATCTTCAGATAGAGTGGGAGGGGGGAGAGAGAGAGAGAGAGAGAAGTGAGAGAGACACATTGACTGGTTGCTTCCTGCATGACCCCAACCAGGGACCAAACCACAACCCAGGTACGTGCCCTTGACCGGAATCGAACCCGTGACTCTTCGGTCCAAGGGCTGACGCTCCAACCACTGAGCCAAACTGGCCAGGGGTGTTGCCTTACAATTTTAAAAGTATTTGAATGTATGCTTTCTCAAGTAGACCTCTTTCTCAGCAACTCTGTTAGTAGCTGAAATTGAGGGAAACTGCGGCATCTCAGTGATTTGACCAGACACTTAGAAAAGCGTTAGATTAAAGCTCCAGACCGAGTTCAGAGATTTCTTTGGTTTAGGGAAGATAACCACCTCCTTTTGTCACCTCCTTTTGTGAATTAAACAAGTCCTTTGAATTATAACCACACCCTCATTTTCAATGTTAGAAAATGTGGATTTTCGGGTTGGATTTCTTTAAAGCAAGGTGTGCCTGTTTGTATATTATGTTCTTTTTGTGTGTGTGTTCTTTTTTTTTTTTTTTTTTTGCTCTTGTGTCTATTTTTGGAGAAGAATAATATGGCTGAATTATTTTGTATGTTCACTAATCATTATTATGATATATAATATTTTATTCTCTGACTGAAGAGCAAATAATGACTTGCCTTAAAGTGATTAGTTTTCATCCTGATTAATATTTATCTTTTAATAAAAAATTCCATTTCGTTCACAGTTTCTTTAAAATCTTAAAACACAACTGCTAATTCAGCTTTAATCCACTATACTGATCTCAAACTCATGACTACCTAGGCAAATTAATCTGCATTATTTGTCTTTTGAGATGGGCCTTTAAATCAGAGAAACCATCTCTTGTGCCAGCCTGCAGGTTGAATATCAGGAGTCACAACCTCTCTGGCAAAGGAAGAGAGTCTGTGGTTTAAAGATCCAATCTTATTTTAATTCCCATTTACCAACCGTGTTGTAGTTATTTTGGGAACCAGTAAATTGGTCTCAGTTCATTCATCTGAAAACTAAAGGAGAAGCTTCCTTATAAGGATTTATGTCAGCAAATGAAGAATTACTATTTACAGAGTATTTTGAGTTGCCCAGGCAAAGGTTCTAGAGCAGTGGTTCTCAACCTTCCTAATGCCGCGACCCTTTAATACAGTTCCTCATGTTGTGGTGACCCCCAACCATAAAATTATTTTCGTTGCTACTTCATTACTGTAATTTTGCTACTGTTATGTCTTAGGCGATCCCTGTGAAAGGGTCGTTCGACCCCCAAAGGGGTTGCGACCCACAGGTTGAGAACCGCTGTTCTAGAGGAAAGAGAATGATTGTTTTTGGTCCTCATATATAAACTATGATGATAACACCTTCGAGGCTTCAGTGCATGACAGTCAGAAAAGCCCCGCGTGCACTTCGGTGCACTTCAACAGCAGAGACCTGTGGAAAAGAGGAACCCAGAGTTCAAACCTGATATTGAATCTCTTTGCAATTTAAAGCAGGTAATTTGTTTCCCTTATTTATAAAGGGAAATGATAATAGCTGCCCCTATATCACAGAATATTGAAAAGAAACATAAAATAATTTGAGCTCCTGAAAGAAAAGTAATATTGAAATGTAAGGAGTTCATAAAAGTTGCTTTTATAAGCCTTAGTACCCCAAAAATAATGTGAGTAAAACATCTTACTTCAACAGGCCTGATTAAAAAACTCAATGATTAGCTATTTTGATAAGATACACTGTTTCCCTGGGTCCTGTCCAAAGATTCTTACACATTTTTAAAATCCTTGCAGGAATCTCAGCTTGAAGATACAAGTAGCACTCCCCATCTCACCCCACCCCCACCCCCACCAACTGCTTTTGAATATCAACCTGTTCCTGGAACACTGCAGGTGATGATGGGCTAGAGGGGCCCACTGCGGGAAATTTTGTTGGATTCCTAAAATCACACCCTTTCATCATCTTCCATTTTATTACAAAGTAACAGGGGTTAATGATTCTAGCAGCCATCCATCTGTGCCATTAGTATTTTCCATTCTAGATTGTCCTTGGCTTTTATTTATTTAGTTTTCATGCAGTCTGGAATTTTGGACATAACCCTATACTGTTTTGTTTAAAGGTAATAAATTTGGTTTCTTACATATCAGCTGACCAATAATTTTCTGCCTTGCCATACCGTCTGTAGGAAAAGCTTCTGTTGTTTGTTTTTTTCTTTTTATCCTCACCCGAGGACATTTTTCCATTTTTTGTTCAGATACAGTGGGAGGGAGAGAGAGGAAAAGAGAGAGAGAGAGAAACACCAACGTGAAAGGGACACATCGAGTGGCTGCCACCCGCACGACCAACCAGGGCCAGGGACAAACTGCAACCCAGGTATGTGCCCTTAGCGGGAACAGAACCCGGGTCTCTCTGAACTGCAGGCTGATGCTCTAACCGCTGAGCCAAACCAGCCAGGACAAAAAATCTTCTGCTTTATTGGAGGGAGGCACAGTTTAAGCACTCCCCCCCTCCCACTCTCCCCCTCCCCACACCCCAGTGTCCAAGGGCTCCCTGTCCCCAGATCCTTCAGAATCAGAGCTAGATATTCCCTGGATCTGCCAGCTAGCCCCCTCTGCCACACCAGCAGGACCCTTATAGCCTTGCCTCCCTGATAGCCTGGGGTGGGTGGGAGTGGGGGCTGGGGGCTGGGGCAGCCTGGGCAGGAGCCTGAGGTAGGCATTGAGGGTTGAGTCCTAAGGCCACTCACACACAACCTTTGCTCTGGGGTCTTAGGGAAGATTCCTTTCCCAGGTCATTGTCCTGGTTTCAGGCATTTTCTGTCATTGAGGTTAAAAGTTAAGGAGCCACCTGACCTTTTACCATCTCTTGTGGAGAAATCAGCCCCCTAGAAACAGGAGAGGTCTGGCTTACCTCAGTTTCTCTGGTCTTTAGGGTGACATTTACAGACATGCAGCTGCCTCCCCTAGGACCCCTTGGGGCCTAAAATTTGTTTACAACCAGATTGCTTAGCTCCAGGAAACAAGACACATGCACACACACACTTTGGGATGGATTCATTCTTTTTAGTGCTCTGACAACAATCCCCATTCCCCGCTCCCTCAAAATAACTTGTGAATCTATTGTTAGTCTTTGAAACTTTGACTTTATAACAATTATTGGAAAAGTATGTTGGTGTGTTCCAATTGTATTAGAGAGAGACTGCCTGTGTCATTTTATTCTCAGTACCTTTCACAAGTCTCCGAAGCCTAGAAGTATTAATTGAGTCTTTTTTCCTCTGATTTCTAAAAGAGTGCTACAAGACAGAAAATTTTTGGCTAAAATTAGGGAACTAAAAATTTCCTAGGTTTTAGAGCTCTTTGATTATTTTGACTAGCTTTTTTCTTTTGGAAGGCAGATTATAAAAGAAGCACAAATAAAAAGCTGGGAAGAAGCCCTGGCCGGTTTGGCTCAGCAGTTAGAGCATCGGCCTACGGACTAATGAGTCTCAGGTTTGATTCCAGTCAAAGGCTCATACCTTGGTTGCAGTTTGTCCCTGGCCCAGGTCTGGGTTGTGCAGGAGGCAACCAGTCAATGTGTCACTCTCCCATCCATGTTTCTCTTTCTCTCTCTCTCCCTCTCTTTCTCTCCCACTCTATCTAAAGAGAAATAAAAAAAATATCCTCAGGTGAGGATTGAAAAAAGCTGAGAGAAGAATCAAGGGATAGAAGAGGGTCACAAGACTGTCTTCTACCATCCATTCCTCAGAGGGGTGTTTTAGGACACTCGCATCAATTAGCCCCACCCCCACCCCCGAGCTGGGCAGGGAGCAGTGTGTCCTACTCAGTGTTTGCAGGAGAGTGAGCTGGGTGTTGGACCACCAAACTAACAATGAGCCAACCAGGCTGATTGAAAAAATGCACTCATGCCTGGACAGTGTGGCTCAGTGGTTGAGCATGGACCCATGCACCAAGAGGTCGCCAGGTCAGTTCCTGGTCAGGGCACATGCCCAGGTTGTGGGCCCAATCCCCAGTGGGGGTCATGCAGGAGGCAGCCAATTGATGTGCTCGCTCATTGATGTTTCTGTCTCTCTCTCCCTTCCTAAAATCAATAAAGAAAAAAATTTTTTTCCACACTCATTTGTTGGGTCAGAGGTTAATTTTCTCTCTTGCCTCCTTACTCTCACAGGGCCAAATACCTCCACTCCAGGCTTGGTCTTTTTCCAAGCCCATCCTTGTTTTCTTTAACCACACTGAGCCACCTTGTTGTTTATACAAGCTATCTTATCTATTAGTGTTGAGTCACTCTTATAGTTATTGCCTGTACCTACAACCTTCCCATGTAGCTTCTGGGGCCCTGCCCTGGAAATAGAGTTCTTTGCCTTAAGAAGCTCAACATTTGTAGTACAGACCCACCTAAACCAATAAGTGATTCCCAAATTTCTTAGCATTATAACAAACGTTTTTGGATTTTTGTGAAAATTTTCTCTTCCCTTAAAAAAAAGTTAATTATGTATTTTTAATTCAACTTTTATTTTGAAAAACTTGTAGAGATTGTTGTGATAACCTTTGATCATCTGCCACATCCAAGGGTGAGGTTAAACCAACATTTAAAAACACTAATATAAATCTAATACTTGATATTGGCCTTAATACTTAAATTTAAAATATGCTGTTGGTATACGATGTTTACCTACTGACTGGCCCATTTCTACATGTTTGATTGCAGGAAATCTTCACCGAACTAGCAGCGTTCCTGAGTATGTCTACAACCTGCACTTGGTTGAAAATGACTTTGCTGGCGGCTATTTCCCTGTTCCTAAAACCTATGACTTGCTAAAGGTACGATACCAAAGAATGTAGCACTAGATATCAGACTACCAGGAACACATTTTTCAGCTCCTGTAGATTATTTTTTAATGTTGCCTTTCCAAAACATCACTATTTCCCAAATGAATTATGAGAAAATTGATTTTGTGTGGACAACATAGAAAACTGGGGGCTCTAAGCAGCATCCAATCCTCACCAAGTCTTGTTAAGAAACAGGTTTTTACCCAGAAAGGGCCCAACTGCTCCATGTGATTCAGAGAAAAGGACACCTTGTGTAATAGTCCCGGAGTAGATAGTCTTCAGCAGAGATGAACACTGACTTATGCCTCCTTTAAACGTGATTCCTCTGTCCTGCAGTCCGGCGTGACCAGCACGTACGAAGGTCGCTGGGGGAGAAGAGCTGCGCAGTACAGTTCACAGAAGTCCGTGGACGAAAGATCCTTGAGGCAGCCTCTGCGGAGACTGGAGATCTCTCCAGACAGCAGCCCCGAGAGGCTCCATTACTCGCACAGCGATCACCAGTACAGCCAGAGGAGCCAGGCCCGGCACACGCTGCGGCACCAGGACAGCCGCAGGTCCACGCTCCTTCTGCCCCCGAGATACGCGCGGTCGGAAATTGTTGGCTTCACCTCGGGGGGCGCGAGCAGGCAGCGCTACCACGACACTTACCGCAGACACTTCCAGTACGGGTCTGTTAACGACTCTGTTTTTGATGGCGCCCCTCCCAACCCAGTGGTGCTCACGTACCCCAGGCCCGGGACCAGTCACAGCATGAGCAATCTCCTGGAGAAGGAGAACTACCTGACTTCGGGGGCTGCGCAGGGGCCGGGCAGGCTGCTGGTGCCCCTGCAGCCCGTCCCGCAGAACAGGGCCGCCCGGTCCTCCTGGCATCAGGGCTCCTTCCACAGCACCCGCACAGTGAGGGAAGCCGGGCCCAGCGTCGCTGTGGATGCGGGCGGGAGGAGGACGCACCTGACCGCCGGCCAGGTGGCCGCAGGAGGAAGTGCGAGCATGTTCGCAGAGAGAACCACGTTCTCCGACTCCCAGCTCAGGTGAGTCCCCTTCTCAGTCTGCCGTGCAGGCGGGGCCCGCACGTTCTGTTCCCACTGCATGAGCTGGCACGGAGGCTGCAGAGGTTTCCAGAGATAAGTGATTACAATAACGACTTTTCATGCCGCTGTCTAACTGGCAGATTAGCCTATTTACCTCGGGGACAAAGGCCAGGCTACCTGCTCATATGCAGCTTTGAGGAAAATGTGACAATCAGTCCATCTGTTGTTCCAAATTAGATGCTGGCGGAAGAGATGGCTACCTCTCCGCTGAATGAGGGCTAACTCCAAAGTAGACTAAGAAATGGATAATGGCATGCATTTTCTTGAAATGAAGGAAAAGGACAAAAAGGCCTTATTTCTATTGCTGAGTGAACCTCAAATGCTATTTTGATAACTACCACCATGGAAAGACAGAGCTAAGCAAAGTCAGCTAATTTTTAGACGTTTCCTTCCTTTTCTATCTGATAATTTAAAAAAAAATTTTTTTTTCATTTATTGATTTTAGAGAGAGGAAAGTTGAGAGAGAGAGAAACATTGATTTGTTGTTCCACTTATTGATGCATTCATTGATTGATTCTTGTATGTGCCCTGACCAGGGATCAAACCTTGGTGTATCAGGATGATGCTCTAACCAACAGAGCTACCTGGCCAGGGCTACTTTTTTATTCTAGTGTCAGTCATTTGGGGGGTATTTTTTGGCAATGCCAAATAATTTTATTTATTTATTTATTTTTTATCCTCACCCGAGGATATTTTTCCATTTTTTGTACAGATAGAGTGGGAGGGAGAGAGAGGAAGGGAGAGAGAGAGAGAAACATCGACATGAAGGGACACATCGAGTGGCTGCCACCCGCACGACCAACCAGGGCCGGGGACAAACTGCAACCGAAGTACGTGCCCTTAGCGGGAACCGAACCCAGGTCTCTCCGGACCGCAGGCCGACGCTCTAACCGCTGAGCCAAACTGGCCAGGGCAATGCCAAATAATTTTAAAAATTAAATTTTCAAGGTCATTCTTTTGCCTGTCTTACTTTATGGCTCGACTAATCTAGTCTTTGGGACTAAATAAAGCCTTACTTAAGTTTAATGCTGGGACACAAATTTTATAAACTGAGGAGAAAGTTACAAAGAGAAAGGTTGAGAAATGGATGGATGATTAAGTCACTAAATCCTGAAATAATGATTTATCATTATGGTAAAACATTTTATGTGATTTTTGTTTGACTTCTAATGTTGCTTAATGGAGGTTGTTATAAACCTGCATAATGACATAAGGCATTAGACAATGGATCTTGCAAGGCTGATGCGGCTTAGTGGATTGAGCATACTCCCATAGACTGAGGGGTCCCAGTTTGATTCCCAGTCAGGGCCCATGCTCGGGGTTTCAGGCTCGATCCCCAGTAGGGGGCATGCAGGAGGCGGCCAATCAATGTCTCGCACATCCATATTTCTCTTTCTTTCCCTTTCTCTTGCTCTAAAAAAAAAAAAAAATCAATAAAAATATTTTCAAACAATGGATCTTTTTTTCTAAAAGAAGAATGGCTGGTCAGATAGTTACTAATGCAGCTGAAAACCAAGACATGGGAGGAAAAGGGAGATAAGTCAACACCTGTTCTAAATCAGACTGATGGAAAAGGTTCAAAAAGTCAGCAAGTAAAACTTCTTGACTCGTTTCTCTGAAAATATGATTTCTATACCTATGGGGGACTAGTGTTTCAGCAAATGAATGTTGGGTTCCTCCAGGGTACCAAGCAGTACAGTAAGCACCATAAGGGAAAAACTGAGTGGGATATGTGAAGGTCTAGAGAGGATCAGTGAAAACGGAAGATACACCACCCAGTGCTCGGTCGTGTGGCACATACTCGAGTATACAGGAATTCTGAGAACGAAAGAGCCGAGTGCTAAGGAGAGAGATTGCATCTGTAGGGGGTCACCGATCAAGTTTGTGAGGTACAGGACGTGTCACCCTATTCAGTATCTGGGGGAAGCAGCGTGTGGCAGGGCTGTGCTGATAGCTGGCAGGACTGCTGGTGCCTGAGGGATTGCACACATAAAAAAGTGCCATTTGTTTTTTATTACTAAAGAGCTCATATTCTGACCAAGGATATTTTACACTGCTTCTTCTTACTGTTTTTTTTACATGGAGAAGGGGAGAGAGACAGAAACATCGATGAGAGAGAAACATCGACCGGCTGCCTCCTGCATGCCCCACACTGGGGATTGAGCCGGCAACCTGGGCATGTGTCCTGACCGGGAATCCAACCAGCGACTTCTCAGTGCATGGGTGGACGCTCAGCCACTGAGCCACACCACTGGGGCTGCATTTTTTTTTTACCAATTAAATTGATTCCTGAGGCACAACATTTTAAAATAGGAAATCATTATGTGATTCTCTCAGTATGGGTGCCAGAACTGTTTCCTGCCTCATTTTTAACACTCATGAGGTAATACTTCTGTGTTTGAACATGTGTTTCAGAAGCAATGGGTATTAGTTTTTAGTCATGAGGCTCATTTATCCCCTCACCTCTGCCATGTCCACCCATACACAAACACCGTTCCCAACACAACACATAATCACATCTGAACACAGGCGCATATACTGTGGGTTAGCCTGATAAAACAGAGAATGTAATCATTGTGCTTGCTAGCAGTTACTGGAAAACACCCTCCCAAAGAGTTTATAACCTGGAATGAATCATACATAACCTTCTTTGAAGCCAAAGCAGGTCCCAGGTCAAGGCATGTCTTTAACCACAATTCTAAGATGTTAGTCCTGAGTATTTTCTCTGAGTCAGTGCTTAAGAAATTGAATTGATAATTGACTGCCTAATCTAGTCACCCTCCAGACAGGATATAAAAGGGGAATAACAATGCAGTTCTATGAGGCATTTGGGAGTTACGTTTATTTATTGTTTTTACAAGTAGTATTTTTAATAGTACTCTATAAATTATCCTCTCTGTGTCAAACTGCCTCAGATTTCATCACCACTATAAATGCTTATTAGTAAAAAACAAAAACATGCTACAATCTCAGTGTCATTACAATAGCAAAGCAAATGAAAACAGAATGTGTATAACATTTTCTTTAAGAAAAATGCATGTTTATAATTACATTTAATCATTACCTTTCCTGATAGACTTTGTCACACCAGCATGACTTATTTTAACAAAACAAACTCAGTTTTTCTGGCTTTTACTGTTCATATACTTTTATATTCATTAAATAAGAATACTTTTATTTGTTTGTTTTTAGTTAATATTCACCTGAGGATATTTCTCTACTAATTTTTAGATAGAATGGAAGGGAAGGAGGGGAGAAAGAGAGAGAGAAACATTCATGTGAGAGAAACACATCGATTGGTTGCCTCTCACATGACCCCAACAGGGACCAGAAGTTGAACCTGTGACTCTTTGATTCGTGAGCTGATGCTCTAACCTCTGAGCCCAACTGACCAGGTCAAATAGGAACACTTTTTTAATGCTTTTTTAAAAGCTCATTTTTAACTGAAATCACAGATTCTGAGCAGCTCTGAAAAAAATCTAATGATTTTTTTAGAAAAGATGTGTTCCCTCTACAGGTGTGACATTACCCGGGTAGCAATAATTTTTGGTTTCTGTGACCAGATTTCTTTTAAATTTCACCTAAAGTCTTATTGTGCCTTTAAAGTCACTTTTTAAGATGTAACTATCACACTACACATATTTATCTTAAACAGAGATCAGTTTCTTTCTCTGGTATATGTTATGATTCTGCTCAGTTCATTGCCATCTTCTGAGGCTAGTCTGACCAGAGCAGGAGTATTTCTGCTACTAGCTTCCCATACCTTCTGATCTCCGGGACTGATTTTTCTCTTGGCTGAAGAAGAGCCAAGACTCACATGTCCTAGGTGCTTCCCAATACTAGCCGAATCATCTCTGGAGGATCAGGTTGGTCAGCAGGAGGGAGCAGGTTTGGAATTTTGCTGAATCTGTCACTGTTTGTCCAGGAACGCAGACATGGAGATGACTCTGGAGCGAGCAGTGAGCATGCTTGATGCAGACCACACGCCACCTGCGAGGATTTGCGTGGCAGCCACCTTCATACAGCATGAGTGCTTCCAGAAATCTGAAGCACGGAAAAGGGTGAGTAGCATCTCAAGTGCATTGCAAAGTGAGCACACTCTCCTGTCTATTATGGCAACCCTGCAAACCGAAACCAATAATCTGCTTACATTCTTTTAATATCTTCATTGTCAATTTGAAAGAATAAAATAAAATAATCTTTATCGAGAGTTTTTAATTTAAAAGAAAATATACACTCATTACCAAAAAAACTTCCTGCAATTAAGAAACTTAGAAAGGAAGTCACTACACAAACCTCCCCCTTCTCTGTCTGTCTCCTTGACCTCCCCCTTTAGAAACATCCCAGAGGTCATGTCAGTAGTCTATATACTTTCAGGTTTTTCTGACAGAGGGTGTGGGGTGGCAGGGAGGAGAGAGTTTGTATTTTACACTATTCAATATATATATTTGTTGTTGTTAATCCTCATCTGAGGATATTTTTCCATTAATTCTCAGATAGAGTGGAAGGAAGGGAAAAGGGAAGAGACACACATCAGTGCAAGAGATACACATTGATTGGTTGCCTTCATTTACATATCATAACAATGGTTCAGTGGACAACATGTATCTTTTGGTACTTCCACAGTGTTCCTGTTGGACAGATTCCTAACATAGCTCATTTTATGTTTGTTTTAAAAAGTGATAATTTGTGTCTGCGGGGGGGGGGGGGGGATCATAGTTCAAAAAGGTATGCAGTGAAAAGTGAGATCCTTCCTACTCCAAACCCCAGCTTACCTCCCCCCCCCCTTCCCTCTTTCTCCTACTCTCCCATTGTCTCCTCCAGGGACCCTTCCTCCTTCCCTTTCTCTTTCTCTCTCTCTTCTCTCTCTCTCTCTCTCTCTCTCTCAATTTCCGGGTGTCTTTCCAGAGATACTAGATGCATGTAGAAACAGTTATTGGAAGGTATGAGGTGTATGTTTAACTTTTTAAGAATGTCTGTTGGTTGAATATCTGTTTTTATTTGAAACAAAATCACAAATGGTAGCAGATTATTTACAGTACTCTGTGCTTTGTTTTCATTAATATCTTGAAATCGTTAATATATCTTAGCCCTACTTTATTTTTTAAAACTGCTGCATACATTTCTGTTGTATAAATGTACCAGTTTTGTTTATTCATTTTTAAAATAACTTTATAAAGGTACAATATGACAAAGTTTTGACATATGTTTTGGCACTGTGAAAAATCATCACAAATAATGAGCATATCCATTACATCCAAAGTTTCCTTGTGCCCTTTATAATCCATACATCCCACCCCTCCCCAACCCACTTCCAGACCCTAGATAACCAGTGATCTGCTTTCTGTTGCTGTAGGTTATATTGATTTTCTAGAATTTTATATGAATAAAATCAGATATTTATTATGTATGTAATTTTGTCTGGATTCTTTTACTCAGCGTAAATCTTTTGAGATTCATTCATGTTCTTTGTATGAAGGAGTAGAATTGTGTGTGTGTGTGTGTGTTACTGTGTGGTATTTCATTGATGGATACACAATAATATGTTTGTCCATTTACCTGTAGATGTACATTTGAGTTTTGACTATTACAAATAAAACTGCTATGAACATATTTGTTTAAATGTTTTCATTTCTCTTGGGTAAATATCTAGGAGTGAATTGCTTGGATGATATGGTATTAGGTATATGTTTAACTTTTTAAGAAATTACCAAACGGTTTTACAAAGTAGCTGTGCCATTTTACATTCCTAAGAGCAATGTATGCAAATTCCAATTCCTCCACTTCCTTACACTTGATATGATTCTTAACTTTAGCTAATAGGTTTGCAGTGGGATTTCATTGTCATCTTAATTAGGACTTCCTAGTGACTGATGATGTTGAGCATCTTTTCACATGCTTATTTGCCATCTGTATATCTTCTTTGGTGAAATGTGTGTTCAGATCTTTTGCCCATTTCTCATTAAGGTTTTTTGTTTTCTTACTGAATTTAGATAGTTCTTTGTATATCCTGGATATGTCTTTTTCCAGATATATGATTTGGAAATGTTTTCTTGTAGATGTGCTTTGTCTTTTCACTCTCTTAATAGTTTTTAATTTTGATGGAGTCTATTTTATCAATATATTTTCCATTGTGGAGCATGCTTTTCACGATATATCCAAGAAATCTTTCTGTACTCCAGGGTCACAAAGATAATCTCCTATATTTTCTTCTATAAGTTTTATAAGTGTTAGATTTTATACTTGGTCTGTGGTCCACTTGGGATTAATTTTTATACATATAACAAGATGTGGATTGAAATGGTTTTTTTTTTTGTTGTTTTGTTTTTAATCCTCACCCGAGGACATTTTTACATTTTTTGTTCAGGTAGAGTGGGAGGGAGAGAGAGGAACAGAGACAGAGAGAGAAACATCGATGTGAAAGGGACACATCGAGTGGCTGCCACCCACACAACCCAACCAGGGCCGGGGACAAACTGCAACCGAGGTACGTGCCCTTAGCGGGAACCGAACCCGGGTCTCTCAGGACCGCAGTCCGACGCTCTAACCGCTGAGCCAAACCGGCCAGGGCTGAAATGGCTTTTAAATATAATTTATTTATTTATTTTTTTTATCCTCACCTGAGGACATTTTTCTATTTTTTGTTCAGGTAGAGTGGGAGGGAGAGAGGAAGAGAGAGAGAAACATCGATGTGAAAGGGACACATCGAGTGGCTGCCACCCGCACGACCAACCAGGGCCGGGGACAAACTGCAACCGAGGTACGTGCCCTTAGCGGGAACCGAACCCGGGTCTCTTGGGACCGCAGGCCGACGCTCTAACCGCTGAGCCAAACCAGCCAGGGCTGAAATGGCTTTTAAAAAAACATGTATGTACAGTTTTTCAGGAACCATTTGTTGAAAGACTTTCCTTTTGGTACTGAATTGTTTTTGTGCCTTTGTTAAAAAGAAATTGAGCCCTGGCCGGTTTGGCTCAGCGGTTGGAGCGTCCACCTGCGGTCTGGAGAGACCCGGGTTCGGTTCCCGCTAAGGGCACGTACCTCGGTTACAGTTTGTCCCCGGCCCTGGTTGGTCGTGCGGGTGGCAGCCACTCGATGTGTCCCTTTCACATCGATGTTTCCCTCTCTCTCTCTTCCTCTCTCTCCCTCCCACTCTATCTGTACAAAAAATGGAAAAATGTCCTCGGGTGAGGATTAAAAAAAAAAAAAAAGAAATTGATCTCACCCTGGGCAGTTTGGCTCAGCGGTTAGAGCATCAGCCCCAGGACCAGAGAGTTCCTGTTCGGTTCCCGCTAAGGGCACGTACCTCGATTGCAGTTTGCCCCTGGCCCAGTTGGGGTTTTGTGGGTGGCAACCACTCACTGTGTTTCTCACATCGATGTTTCTCCCTCTCTACCTCCCACTCTATCTGAAGATAAATGCAAGGAATTGATCTCATGTGTGACTCTTAATGGACTGTGTATTCTATTCCATTGATTTGTTTGTATTTATGCAATTGCCACACTGTCTTGATTACTATAGTTTTGTGTTAAGTCTTGAAATTAGGTAATGTTAGTCCTCTTTGTTCTTCTTTTTCAAGTGATTTTGCCTTTTCTAGATCTTTAGCAGTCCCATTTGAATTTTAGATTCAGCTTGTCAATTTCTACATTTAAAAAACCTCTGGGTTTTTTTTGAGATTATATTGAATCTGTAGATCAGTATGTGGAGAATTCACATCTGAACAATATTGAGTCTTCTGACTCAACAGGCTATATTTCACAATTTATTTAGATCTCTAATTTCTCTCAGCATTGTTTTATTGTTTTTTACTCTAGAGGTCTTCAATATCTTTCATCAGATTTATCCCTTAAAGTATCATATATCTAAATAGTTTTACAAATGGTCAGGGTTTGTTTTGGTTTTTTTTATTTCACTTTTTGATTATTCAAAGCTAGCATATAGAAATACAGTTAATACAGTTGATCTTGTATCCTATCAGCTAAATTCTCCTATTAGCTCCAGTATCAAATTTTAGATTCATCAGATTTTCTACATGGATGATCATGCCTTCTGCAAACAAATACCGTTTTGTTTCTTCTTTTCCAATCTGAATGTCTTATATTTCTTTTTCTTTTGTCTTCTGGTACTGGCTAGCACCACCAGCACGTTGTTGAAATGAAGTGAGAGTGGCACGTTGTCCCTTGAAGCATTCAGTCTTTCTTTCACTATTAAGTGTTGTGCTCCCTGTGGATGTGTTTATTATTTGGAGAGATTTAATCTAGGGAAATTTGTGGGATTTTTTTTTTTTTTTAAAAAGGAAGAAGTTTTATGTTTTAGTATTTTTAACTTCATTTTTTTTTCTTTTGTTTTTTAAAAATTGAGACATAATTGACATATAACTTTTTAGTTTCAGGTATACAACATAATGATATGATATATGTATATATATTGCAAAATGGTCACCACAATAAATTTTACTACCATCCATCACCACACAGAGTTACATAGTTTTTTTTTGTGATGAGCACTTTTAAGATTTACTCTCTTAGCAACTTTCAAATATAAAATACAGTATTATTAACTATAGTCAACCAAGCTATACTCATGACTTTTTTATCCTTGAAAGTTTGTACTTTTTCACCACCTTCACCCATTTCAGCCCCCCTCCCCCCCTCAAATACCCATCTTTGGCTACTACCAATCTGTTCTCTGCATCCAGTGTCCATGTTGATTGGTTGTGCATATATGCACATTTTATTTGTTTATTAGATTCCACATATAAGTGAGATCAGATCATATGGTATTTGTCCTTATGTGAGCCATTTCACTTGGCATAATGCACTCAAGATCCATTCATGTTGTCACAAATGGCAGGATTTCCTTCCTTTTTATGGCTTAGTAATATGCATATATATGTTAACATATATATGAATGTATATGTTATATATATTAAATGTTACATATATAACATAAAGTGTTATAGATGTAATGTTTTCTTTATCCATTCATCTATATGTTAAGTGTTATATATATAACAAAATATTACATATATATAAAACATTTCCTTTTTTTTTTTTTTGTTAAT